ATGAGCAAAGCACGCAATCAAGACTCGTCTATTCAAGTTAAAGGTATTCCTTACTCACAAGAGATGGCTGCGGCTGATAAATTTTGCGCAGTCGATAACATTATGGTGATAAGGGTCACTGCCGTGCTACACAGCAAGCCTCGTATAATTACGCGCCCAGGTGGCACAGGACCTACGCCGCTCAAGCCTTGAAATCATATTATTCTTCTCCCAAACGCCAGGGATAAACTCTAAACTGTGGCCCAAGTGCAGCCTCATAGACTATGAGGGTTTCAGGGCAATCTTCATCAGAGCCCCTTGGTCCATAAACGGTGTTCCTTCTCAGACTAGTTACCTGTCGCCTAGACATGTCGACCACCCTTTGCGGCGCAGGTGGATGTGCCATACCGTCACTTTCAAGGCTTGGTGATTAGCATCGTCCACTACAGGATCCACGAACGTAAAACGTATGGACTTTGCCGGCTCCGATTAAAATGGGGGCCGTCGATACATCTCGCCCAGTTCCAGCTCCCAATGCCTGTGCTGCAGCAAGAAAGAAAGAACTACCTCTAGCGGTACCCTCCCAGATATCGGTGCATCAACCTTACTGGGCGTTAAGTTTAAGAACTCCTCCGTGCTCGGAACCTCGCCGGCTCGGTTGAGTTCCGTAATTGGCTACCGAGTGCACAGAATTTTGTCGGTTTTTGTATGGTTCAACTTAACGGTCTTGTGATTCAGCATCTCCTAACCTTGCTATCACGATCCCTACCCTGTATCGGTGGTTCTAGGTACTACGCCGCCTGTGCCCAGTCGCCGTGGTTTTTCTCCTTCCAGTTTAGGCCCCTTTTCATACTTGTTCATAGGGCACCATGGTGTAACACTGCACGCGCGAGCCATCTGAAACTACTTTTCAAACATAAGGACCATACTCGAATTTCCATAGACTGCTACTCTTTCGATTCCGTCATGCGGCGAAGGCAGGTGAATGGCAGCCTACGCCAGAACTAACTTTAGGAGCAGATCAGCCGAAGGGATGCCCTTTCTTTGATGTGACACCTACTTGACTTGGTCGAAATGTACCCGCACTCACCCGTGGTTCGCGGCAAACTATAAATACCGGGTTGGCCGTTGAGTTCATCTGATACCAAGATTACAAACACCCTTTTTGCGAGCTCTGATCCAAGGTTAGATCGTTCGCATTTATTTGTTCTCCATGTCCGCTCCTACTAGACAACTCCGCGGCCTGTCTATCGATGACAAAATGCCACAAAGGCCAACTCAGCCCGAAGGAACACCGCATCCCGAAGACGACAGTGCACGCATGGAAACAGGGAGTGACGAGAGTGAGGTTGGAGGGGAGCTGCCTGAATTCTCTACTTTACAAGGAAAATCTGGCATCACCTATGATCTTACTAAACTGGATCCCGAGTCCGAAGCGAGAGCCCTTGTGGGTTTGACGAGTCAGTTCGATGTGATCGGCTGCCGTAGAACCAAGACAGGGTTTGATTTTCAGTTTTCAGAGCGGCCACAAGTTCATATCGGCCCAGGTGGTTATACATGCACCTGTTCGATGTTCATGGGCCTGCCTGGTGTTGCCTGTCCACACGTTTTCGTAAGTTCTAGCACGATCCACCGCAATCGCCAATCTCTGCTAACCTCCGAGAAGTGGCTTGTCGACCAGCTTCATGGCTGTCTTATCCCTCAAATTCCCAATTATGATGTGCCGTTATCGAGCGATGGTCACCCTCTAGTCTTCACCCCCATTGAACGACTCCTTGATGACAAACTCGAAACAGTTGCGGAGCTATTGAGCTGGCAATATGTCCGTTCAGAAGTGGAGGGTGGCATGAGCCGTCCACAGAAAGTGAGGGACCTTATGTCTGCCTTCGATACAGCCGTACTTCCCGAGGATTTTCGCCTCGACCTTTTCGATGACGATGGCCAATCGCGCACTCCAGAACAGTGTGTGGTGCAAGGAGACTTCGAGGCCACCATGTTTCGGCTTGCGGTACACGACGACACGGTCTATTTTAGCCTGTGCAAAGCCATGCCGCCCGGGGCCTGCGCGGCAATTTATTTCGATAAGGTACAGGAAAAATCGCGGAAATTGTTGGCAGATTTCGATCGTTACTGCCAAACGGGACGGCGTCCGAAAGCATCCAACGTGGACGTCAACAACGTGATCGGAGAACTGCAGCATAATGTCAATCGAATTCAAGCGAACATCGCTACGCGAGCACCGCACGGCGTTGAAGGAGCCGCTAAAGCGCTAGTGACGCTTCTGGAAGACATCTGCAACCGCAATAAGGACGCGCTAGATGGGAACCACTGGGGTGGAGTGACCTTCGATGGGGAGGACGAGGATCAACGTAACTTATACCATCAACTTATCGGTAGGGCGGAGGAAACAGGAGAATGCTTCATCTTGGATGCCCTCGAGCAGTTAGCGGGCTTAGATCTTCACCAATTCAAGGAGAGACTGCGAGCAATTCTTCAGAAAAACGAAGTGAACCGCGCCCCGAAGGCATACATACTGAAATTGAATGCATTGGTCCGTCGAGCTGAATCCAATTCTGCTAGCTCGGGTCAAAAACGACCGGCTACAGCTAGCTCTGAGGGACACGGGCAGAGCAAGAGAACCCGCTGATGCTTGGTGGTGCTGTACATTCATATTTTGTTCGATACCCTGTATTCCATAGCTTCCCCTTTGCTTCACATCATAGATCAATGAATCATGACGCGGCCGAATACCAGCTGGCCTGGTATTGCCATCAGCTTTGCACCGCCTCACATTCCACTAAAGCAATGACGAACACTTGCCACTATATACTTTCCCCGCTTTCGCGAAATCCTATGGTGACACAAGACACGGGTTCGCGCCATGGTTTCTCATGAACTTTATCTGGCTCTCTGGAATGCGCCCAACTCTATTGCTACGACGTCCTTCATTCTCCAGTCCCGACAGGCTGGTACCGGATTGTTCCAAAACCATGGCCACTGCATTCCTAATAGGGGAATGGTGAGAGAAGCGTACCTTGGGTTCCCCCATCACCTAGCCGTTCTAGCTTTGCAAATTGCATCACTTCCTATCATTGTACTGTAGAACAACTTTCGATGTGGCCAAGGGTAACCAGGAGTATGAACTCAATTAAGGTGGCATTGCATAAGAGACCTCCACATTCAGGAAAACGTGGAATCCACACTGCATCCCGTTAACAGTTCATGGCGATCGCACATACCAGTCCCACACGCTAGTGTGTAGTTCTGGTATGGTTGATTTCGTACGGAATAGACGTTTGTGATTGTCTTACGGTGGCCTATATTGTTAATTTAGATGACAATATCTAACAATTGGCCGGCTGGCCCAATGGCAAGGCGCTTGACTACGAATCAAGAGATTGCAGGTTCGATCCCTGCGTCGGTCATTTTTTTTACTCCTTTCTCAACAATCTTGGTCTTCAATCTACCTCTTTTGTTCATCGTCTGGCCTATTCTATCATTTTTCTCTCAACCTTTTTTTTGTCCGTACTTCCTCGCTCTAGATCGTGCCCGCACTACCTAAACTCAATTTACTCGCTCTGTTTTGACTATGTCCGGCTTGCCCGCCTTGCGGAGATATATATCCATGGGACGATCCTAGTCATTGACGCATTCGCAGCTCCCCTAGAGCACCGCGGTTCTAGAAGGCAAGTTAGTTCGACGAATGACCCCAGAGTATCGATAATTATGCGACATTTCAAGCAATATCTTGATAGCTAACCTTTATCTCCTCCAAGATGACCAACTCCCAAGGTCTACAGTGCCCAGGGCCTCGATGCCTCGACTACGCTCCAAATCACAATTTTCCTGATAGACGTAACAGGCCAGTAACCTGCTACTATCGATGAGTCCATCACAAACAACACTATAGTCGAATTCAACCCGTCAAATACCGTCGAACCCCGTGATGCCCGCTGCCGTTGCCATAAACTCTCACCTCAGAACTAGGAAGAATGGCATTGGATTACCATTTCTCTTCCTTCTAAGAATAGCACCGGTTGCCTGTTACCTTTTGCGACTAAAAGGATTCTCTTATCTCACTAGGAGCCTCGAGAGGGTACTTGCCTGAAAGTTCCAGAGCCGAGCTGCCGACCTTCATCCACAGCTACGACACCGGAGACAGTGCTGGTCTATGTGAATGAATACAATCGTCCCAAGCTTTTCTTCGTTTCTACCCTGGATGATACTTAACAGTGCTGGTCGCAAATGACCTCCGCGTGCTCCGTACAAAAGAAGTTGTTTGATCGTCCCACCGTCAGTCCACGTTCCTCCAGACACCCCGATCCAAAAGACCAAGTACAGATCATACATGGTGGCATCGGATTGAGGCTTAATGAGAAGGTACTGTATACACAGAAATGGGGGAACATCGAAGCTGTTGAGCCCGAAGATGTTAGGAGTAGCTCAAGAATCGCATTGGGCGGCCGATCTGCCCAGCAAAACCCTATCACGGAGATTCTTTAGGCTTGAAGGGCTCAAAGTGCTATCTGAGACTCAATGAGCTAAGGAATGCAGAAGTGCTTAGAAGAGCTCACCGGTGCTAGGCCTACTAAGGAAGCGTGCGAATTGCCCGACCAACCCAGCCAATATGACAGGGACCTTACGCGATGGTTGACATAATTGCGTTCGTGGTTCTTTACTGTTAAGACCACGACTACACTCATAGGGCAAACCGAGCGTCTATGATTCCCATCGGCTCAGTATCGAGTAAATGTCTTCGCAGGCGCCCAAGACTGCCATCCTCTTCTAGCTGTACCATCAGACAGTCGCACGTCGCCAAGACTACAACCTGCCCAACCATTCGATATCCCTGAGCTAATGATGCAAGGATGCACGCCACTTGCAAACACCAATCGTAAGTGTGCATATAACTCTATTTTTACTTATCTGCCCGGGGTTTGTGAGCTTATCGAGGCTTGAATTGTCGTTTGTCGACCGTTCGCTTTGGACAACGACGCCCCCAGCCTTCTTTTTCATTCTTTCAATTGAACTGTATGCGGTTTGTTTATTGTTCATTCTCCTTTAATTTCGACATTCTGCTTACTACGTCGTACTTCGATCGATGCATTGTGAATGAAAGGAATCAGCGGCTAACTTAGGATAAGTCCAGGACAACTCGTCCTTGCAGTTTACCCTCGCCCATCTCCTCGAAGACACTTGTCAACTTATCCATCTTCTCTGTTCGGAAATGAGTCTTCACGATGCCCCGCGCTGCGAAGTCCAAGACCTCAATTGCCTCCCTCCGATTACCGACGGCCGACCCTGTAATGTAACAATGCTTGCCGATTAAGGTTATGGGCAACGCACTTGCGATGGGCCGAGGGTCGTGCTCGGGGAGACCAACACACACCATTGTCCCGTTGAAGCGCAAGAACTGCACAGACTGGGCGTAGGCTGCGTTGGAAGATGTGCAAACGATGACAGCATGAGCGCCCAGGCCACCAGCAAGTGACTTTACATGGTCGGATATGGCTTTGCCATTGTCATCCATAGGGAACTTGGTGAGGTCAACGAAGTGCTCTGCACCGGATTCCTTGACTAGCTCCTCTTTGCTGCCGTGGTCGACACCAATCACACGCAGCCCCATACCCTTACTGGCCAGTTGTACAGCGATGTGGCCCAGTCCACCACCGGCACCAGAGATGACAACCCACTGTCCAGGTCGAGCATTGCTTCGTTTGAGGGCAGCATAGACGGTGAGACCTGCGCAAAGCATGGGTGCTGCTGCGTCTGATTCTAAGCCTTCTGGGATGGGGGTCACATAGTGGGCAGGCCCTAGAACATATTGCTGAAAAGTCCCAGGGGTATAGTATCCAGAGACCTTCTGATCAACGCAAAGTCCTTCCGCACCGGCTTGACATGGTTCTACAACCCGGTCAATGTGTACCCTATGTGTACGGTGGAGGATTATACATACCACAGTGCGTGCAGGCACTGGAAAGCCACTTGATTCCCACCCTGTCTCCGATCTTGAGGCCGGAGGATTCGGTTCCAGACCCGAGCTTCACAATCTTACCGACACCTTCGTGACCACCAACTTGTCCGGGCTGTGTTGGGTGTGGAAGCCAGCCCCACTTATGACCGTGTGAGTATTGGATTTAGAATCTTCAGAAGGTTCCCAACAACATACAGAGTTTGTCATGACACTGTAGTCCGAATGGCACACGCCGGAATGCGTCCTGCAGACGTGTTAGATGGACATTGAGTCCAGCTCGACTTGTTACCGCGTCCCGATTTCAGCCAGAGCTTACAGATTGATCAGTACCTCGCCTGCGCCAGGCTCGGGAACGTCTACTTCTACCACTTTGGTTGACACAGTTCCAGGCTGATCATAGACAGCCGCCTTTTGCTTCTTTGGAATCTCAGGAGTAGCCATAATGAACTATGCGTAAACTTGGACCTAAGCCTCGTTTTTGATAAAAATGGGATTGGGATATTGTAAGACAAATGTTGTGAGACGTGTCCTCCCAGGGCTGTGGACTCGAGGTCGCTCTTTTTATCTTAGGTGAGCATGCCATGCCAAGTTCCTGACTATTAGGTAGTGTAGCCGAGAAAGGTAAGAGGAGATGGAGATCACCAGTGGCTGCGGGGGTGCTGCAACTGCACATCTTTCGCGGGACTCATGGAGCGCTTGTGAAAGCAATCTTAATGGTCGCATTGCATCCGGTTGAGCCTACGAACCAATCATGTGGGTGAGTGTGAAAGTCAATAGGATCAGGAGCGAATGAGGGGAAGCGATGACCGAGGGCATTGCGATGAATGGCCTCGGCAAGCTATCGCAGGTGTCGTCAGATCACTGCGCATCACTGAAAATTGGGGGTTTGGTAGGGATCCCTCTATTATATACCTGTCCCATAGCATTGTCCCAAAGGTACCCATTGGGACACGAAATGATGTGATTGTACCTGCAAATCCGTACTTTAAATCCTTCGGCCTAATGATCACCGAATGGCGTCGCAGCGATCCCCGAGACAAATAAGATGATCTCCCCCACCTTTAAGTCTCAATTCTTGGAGGCTTTTGATATTTCCATTTCCAGATCAAAGCAGGGAAATTGACCACACTCAGGTGACACCAGGTTCGTGTCCAACTAAAGCCTCACCTAAACGGTCCATCCTTTACCCCGCAATTTCCCTAACCTCAATCGCGCGATCCACCACAACAAACATCACGCCCAAACCGATTATTGCAAAATGCCTATTCCGATCGTGGATTCTCACATCCATCTTTTCCCAGAGTCTCACCTCCCAACATTCGCCTGGTATGGCCCGGAATCGCCCCTAGGATCCCAACATTCGGTCGATGAGTATCGCCTTGCGGCATCCTCAATCTCCACCACCGCAGATACCGCTGACCCGACATATCTGCGCGGCTTCATATTTCTCGAAACAGATCGCATCTCTTCCGTTGAGGAGGCTGGGAATGGCTGGTCTCACGCTCTTGATGAAGTCTCGCTGCTTACGAGAATCATCACTGGGGTTCCTGTCGCGGGTGAGGGTCACCGCGATAATGATAAACATCTCTGTCTGGGGTTTGTTCCCTGGGCACCTGTGCCCGGGGGATCTGCTGCGCTGCAGAAATATATGGGCTTAGTGAGAGAACGTACTAAGACAGATGACGTCTGGAAGAAGCTTCGGGGAGTGAGATATCTGTTCCAAGACAAGCCGAAGGGTGTCATGCTGCAAGATGACGTTGTTGAGGGACTCAAATGGCTTGGGAGAGAAAAGTTGGTATTCGACCTGGGGGTGGATGCGAGGCAGGGTGGGTTTTGGCAGTTGAGGGAGGCGGTCGAAATGATGAGGAGGGTCTATGATGGTGTGAAAGAAGATGAGAAGGTTGTTATAATCATCAGTATGTTTGAACCTGGTTCCCATTATACCCCGCCCCCCCAACCCCCCATCATCTCTCTTTCGGTCGTGGTTGTGCTGATCCGTAACTGACGAGCATGAAGATCACCTCTGTAAGCCAAATCTCCGGCTTCCCGATGCATCGCCCGCCTCAGTAACGACACACCCCGAGTTTCTGGAATGGTCATCTCTGGTCACTGCCATGGCACAATATCCCAACACGTACATGAAGCTTTCGGGCGGCTTCTCTGAGCTGCCACCAGTCTCTTCGGACGCCGAACCTGACATTGCTTCTATTGTGGAGAGGATTCGTCCTTGGACTGATGTGGTCTTTGATACATTTGGTGCCGAGCGAGTGATGTTTGGGTCTGACTGGCCAGTCTGCAACGTAGGGGGAGGCGGTAATGGAGTCACCTGGAGACGTTGGAAGAGCATAGTGGAAAGCATATTAGAGAAGAGGCAGTTGACCGACGAGCAGCAGAGGGGTATATGGGGTGGAGTAGCAGTGAAAGCATACGGAGTCGAGATATGATTTCATAAGAACCTTTTACTATATACACTATCTATAAAAATGAACAACAGAGACTCCCATCCATCCATTCATCCATCTATTCCTACTGAAGATTCACAAAAGCCCCACCATCCACAAGAAGCTGTGCACCAGTCTATAAACACACAATTAGCACCAGATATATCCCCAGCCATAAAGACAAAG